TACTTTAGTCTCTGGGTGTTTGGGGTGGCAGGGGTCGGGGTATGGTGGATTTACACCCTGGTAAACCCTTCATAGTACTCAGTTCTGTATCGCTCAGTAAACATTGCTCTTACTTAAACAAAAAAAGAAAGAAAGAGGGTGGCCCAGGCTACCCGGTGGCGCTGTAGCAGGTGGGTGGGGCCTCCCTCTGGGGGGTGATCAATCTGGGGGCCCTGCCATCGATCACCCCACAGAGGGAGGCCCAAGTCACCGGCCAGCAACGCTGTGCGAATGTGCGGGGCTGGCCAGCGATTGCCCCGCAGAGGGAGGCCCAGGCCAGCCAAGCAATTGCACCCCACGCCTGTAGCCTGCAGAGGGAGGCCACCGGTGGTAGAGGAGAAGGAGCAGTGCTTCACAGATGGCAAAAAGTGGCAGCGGCAGGGGCAGGGCCAGCTGCCAGCAGCCGGGGGAAGAAAAGCCCCATAGGCCCTGATCTCAGGCCAGGTCTAGGGACTCTACCCGAGGGGTCCCTGGTTGTGGGAGGGTGCAGGCCAGTCTGAGAACTCCCCCTACCCCCATGAGTGCATGAATTTTTGTGCACCAGGCCTCTAGTTTCATATAAATGGAATCATATAACATGTAATCTTTTGTATTTGACTTCTTTAATTTAGTATCTGTTTAAAGTTCATTCATGTTGTAGTCTGTATCTGTATTTTACACTTTTTTGTTGGTATTTATGGATATACCGATATACCACATTTTGTTTTTCCCTTCACCAGCTGATCAGTATTTGGGCTTGCTCCACTTTTTGACTATTAGGAGTAATGCTCATATAAACATTACTGTGTGAATCTTTGTGTGAACATGTATTTTATTACTTTTGAATAGATATGTAGGAATGGAATTGCTGGTTCATATAAAAATTTATATTTAAACTTCTAAGAAACTGAAAAGCTATTCTGAAGTGGCTGTACTTTTCCACATTTCCATCAGCAATGTGTGAGAATTTCCGTTTCTTAACATTTCTGCCACTTGTTATTGTCTGTCTTTCTGATAATAACCATCCTGGTGGCTATGAAGTGGTAACTTGGTGGTTTTAATTTGCATTTCTCTAATGATTAATGATGTTAAGCATCTTTTCATGTGCTTATAAGCCACTTATACATTATTTTGAGATATGTCTATCAATTTCTTTTGCCCATTAAAAAATTGGATTTTCTTGCCTTGGCTGGTTTGGCTCAGTGGATACAGCGTCGGTCTGTGGACTGAAGGGTCCCGAGTTTGATTCCAGTCAAGGGCAGCACCTCGGTTGCAGACTCAATCCCTGACCCTGATCAGGGCATGTGTGGGAGACAACCGACTGATGTGTCTCTCTTACATCGATGTTTCTCTCTCTATCTCCCCCCCTCCCTTCCACTCTCTCTAAAAATCAATGGAAAAATATTCTCAGGTGAAGATTAACAACAAAAAAAATTGGATTGTCTTCTTATTGAGTTGTGAGGATTCTTTGTATATCCTAGATACATTTTTCTTTGCCATATATGTGATTTATAAATATTTTCTCCAGTCTGTGGGTTGTCTTTTCAGTTTCTTAATGATTCCTTTTGAGTGCAAAGTTGTTTCTAAGAAAATTTTAATTTTGAAATAAAGATTCACAGGATGTTGCAAAGATAGTATAGAGAGGTACTATGTACACTTAACCCAGTTGCACTCCCAAATTTTGAATTTTTATTAAGTCCAATTTATCAGATTTTTCTTTTATAGATCATACTTCCTGGTTGGGTCTTAAAATTTTTTGCCTAACCCAAGTTCTTAATTTCTCCTATCTTATTCTAAGGTTTTATAGCTTTAGCTTACATTACTGTCACTGAGCCATTTTTCATTAATTTTTGTATAGTGTGAGATAAGGGTCTACATTCATTCTTTTGGAATATGAATTTCCAGTTGACTTAGGACCATTTGTTAAAAATTCTCCTTTCCATCAAGCTGTCCTTGTAAAAAATCAACTGGCCATAAATATAAGGATTTATTACTAAACTTTCAAATCTGTCCCATTGATCTATGTTTATTCATATGTCAGTACCAAACAGTTCTGATAACTTATATTAAGTTTTAAGAGTAGGAAATGAAAGTTTACGAAGTTTTTTTAAAAAAATTTTTTTTTGGCTATTCTTTTTGATTTCCATGTACATTTTAGGTACAGCTTGTCAATTATTTCTGCAAAAAATCCTGCTGGAATTTTGATGGATATTGAGTTGAATCTATTGATCAATTTGGGGAGAACTGTCATCTTAACAATATTGTCTTCTAATCAGTGAATGTGGTGTCTCTTCATTTATTTAAATCATACGTAATTTCTCTCAGAAATGTTTTTAAAACTTTATTGTACTAATCTTGCACTTCTTTTGCTAAATTTATTTTTATATATCTGTTTAGCATTGTTGTGAATGGAATTGTTTTATATTTATTTTCAGATTGTTCATTCTCATATATAGAAATACAATTTATTTCCATATATTAATCTTGTATTCTGCAACCCTGCTGACCTTGTTTAATTTTTTTAGAATACATTTTATTGACTTTTTTACAGAGAGGAAAGGGGAAGCATAGAGAGTTAGAAACATTGATGAGAGAGAAACATAGATCAGCCGCCTCCGGCACATCCCCAACTGGGGATGTGCCCACAACCAAGGCACATGACCTTGACCGGAATTGAACCGGGGACCCTTCAGTCCACAGACCGATGATCCATACACTGAGCTAAACCGGTTAGGGCCCTTGTTTAATTTTAATAGGGGTTTGTCTGCATGCACATGTGTATTCTGATCTTCTACATACAGAATCATGTTGTCTTCAAATAAAGACAATTTTACTTCTTCCTTTCTAATCTAGATGCCTTTTCTTTTTCTTGTGATTGTCAATCACTAGAACTTCCAGTACACCGAGTAGAAGAGCTGATATTCTTGCATTATTTTTCCACCATTAAATATGATGTTAGTGGTAGGGTTTTCACAGATGCCCTTTAACAGAAAGTTCTCTTCTCTTTCAAGTTTGTTGACAATTTTTATTATGAATTAGCTTTTGTCAAATGCTTTCCTGCATTTATTGAGATGATTGTGTGGTTTTTACCCTTTATTAATATATTACATTAATTGATTTAGGAATATTAAAGCATTTGCATTCCTGGGTTGAATGCCACTTGCTCAGTGTGTATAATCCTTTTTCTATGTTGCAGGATCAATATGACTTTTGAAAGTATTCTGACTTTGGAGGAAAGGAGAAATTAGTCAACTGAAGTGGTCTCTTTATAAAATTTTGATGGTTTTAATGATATTCTTAATAATTAGAAAATTCAAATATCAGTATCTTTCATCATAACCCAAAAGATTCAAAACACTTTTATTGAGTATAATCTATATTCCAATGTCAACAATGTAGAATATGTTTTCAAACTATGCATCTTTTTACATTATACAAATGATTTATTCATCTGCAAAAAGGGCGTCAATTCAATTTTGTGAAAGCTTACTATTCATTTCTTAGTGGTATCTTTTGAGATCATTATTCATTTTATTTCATCATTACAATTACAGACTCAAACTTAACTTTTCTGGAAGACAAAAACTCAGAAAGTTCAAACTATGAAATTTTAATATTTAGCTCTTTGTAGTCAACAGTGAACATTACAGAGTCATCCCTATCTATGTCTTCTTTCAAAATGAGTTTAAAAAGATCCCCCTCCTTTTTACAAGCTAGAAAGTATCCTTCATACAGTGAAGACTCAAATCGCATCTTATTGTAAAATCCTGGAACACTTCTCATAAAGAATATGATGTCACTTTTTTCATCATTGATATCAGCAGGAGGACTCATTTTCTGTAGAGAAAAAAATATTAATTTTTTAGGGCACGAATAATCAGAATCTGTGCAGTTTATTTTGAAGTATATTATCCACAGAACTAAAGAAGTTTTTTATTTTCACAAGATTAAAAACAAATCTCAGCATATAGGAACACTGATTTCCTCTTCCTCTGAATTCTAATTTCCTATTCTCCTTGTCCACTTTGGCTGTTCCCACCATGGAATGCACATTCAGGTCTAGCTCTCTAGTTTTTCCCAATTTATTTAATCATATAGCTTTCTTCTCTTTCTCCCATTGCTCAAGATGGAGTCAATTTCTAGCAAAGACCACCACCTTTTATGGGCTAATGTCATTTCCTGTCTTTTCCAACCATTCAGATCTAAAGACATTGATGACCTCCAGCCATAGCCTAGCCTAGCCTAGCTCTAGTTCAGTGGTTCTCAACCTTGGCTGCACATTAGAATCACCTGGGAATCTTTTTAAAATCCTGATTTCTGGGCCTCATCTCCTACTTTTCTTTTTGATAAAATATATATTTTATTGGTTTATTTTATTTTATTTACTTTTAATTTTTAAAATATATCTTTATTGATTTCAGAGAGGAAGAGAGAGGGAGAGATAGAAAAGTCAATGATGAGAGAGAATCACTGATTGGCTGCTTCCTGCACACCCCTACTGGGGATTGAGCCCGAAACCCAGGCATGTGCCCTTGACCTTGACCAGAACCAAACCTGGGATCCTTCAGTCTGCAGGCCAATGCTCTATCCCCTGAGCCAAACCAGCTATGTCTGGTTTGTTGACCATACCTACTTTTCAAGATGAACTAGAAATTCTGAGGACCACCCAAGGTTCTTTCCATGTTAATCCCAGAACTGTAGATATTTGAACTTAATTTTAACCCCATGGCAGCAAAAATTCTCATGATCCTAACTAAGGACTGACAGAAAGCTCCAGATCCAAAATAACATTCCAGCATCTTTCTAAGATGCCCGAAAGAAGTTTGGTTACCTCCCAACTTTTCAACCAATTATGGAATTTATAGTCATAACTCTTAACTTTGTCTTTTAATATAAGAGGGGGTCCTAAATTGTTAACAGTTTAAACCAGTTCTCCCACTGACATATATTTCTGTAGCTGACTACAGAACCCCAGAATTTAGGAAGAGACCTTAAAATGGGGAATGAATTTGGGACTAAGCTACTCTAATGTATAAGTGAGAAATAATCCTTAGCCAAAACTTCAAAAGCTCTAGAAATATTAGAAGGAGATGAACCTGTTAGTTCAAGCCTGGCATGGAAAGTTGTGGTTGAAAGTGGGAGTATGGATAGGTAGAACAGGTGATCTCTAATCATAGTTCAATGTGACATTTCAGAACAGGGGCAAGGAAATCCTGGGGCAGTAGCTTTCCTTGGTTTTGGTGTTGATTATTCATAGCCATCATAGGGAAGGTGCACAGTAAGTGGATATGGAAACAGCTCTACATAATGAAACGAGTGCCCCAAGGACCTATGGGATTGTTTACATCAGGAGGGGTTGAATCTAGACCCAGAGAAAGTTAAGCTGGAGCTAACATCTCTTTTTTTCGGGTGTGTGTGTGTGTGTGTGTGTGTGTGTTTGCCCTTTCCCAAGTACATTAGCACATTTGAGAGAATCCTGACTGCCCAAATGTCTATATAAGAAACAGGCACTAATAGTAACTTCTTGAACAAATCCCTCTTGGTGTCATGAAGGTTCTTACCCAAAGGCAGCAGGTATCCATAAGCACTAGGACTTTATAGCTAGTAACCAACACAGAAAGGTGAGCACATAATGGCAGCAAGTTGTGTCTTATCTAGTAGAACATAGTCTATATTTATAATCACTGCTAAGATCCTTTTTAGTGGGGGTAAAAGGGTTAAAGAGCATGAACTAAAACTTCCTTCCTTCCTTCCTTCCTTCCTTCCTTCCTTCCTTCCTCCCTTCCTTCCTTCCTTCCTTCCTTCCTTCCTTCCTTCCTCCTTCTTTCCTCCTTCCTCTCACCCTCTCTTTCTCCCTCCCTCTAACTAATATTTAATGAGTTCCTTCAGAAGCAGATTTGCTATGAAGCTAATGAAGCTTAAATGTCAGAGCCCTCCACTTGCACGGATCTCTTCTAAGGCCCCTTCTTTTCTTATTCTAAATAAAACTTGATGCTTTTGGTAATTTTATGTTCTCTTTCATTAAAAGGCCTGCCCAAATTGTATAAGTTTCAGGATCTCCTAAATCTGATTTGCTCCAATTCCTAGTGTATACCAAGCATCTTCCCTCCCCTCCC